TCAAAAACGTTAGTAACCTCATTCGAGACAGCACAGCATCTTAATGCATAAGGCAATAATTCAGAAGATTTAAAGTTTTATTTCTTTCGGAAATGTACGTTCTTTTTTCAGGATTTGTGATACTTCCTCTGAAAAGAATACCCTTTGCAACCTGTCCTCCAAAAGATACGTTTTAATACGATACACCGACGGAATACGAGATCTATTACTGTTTCAGAAAATCTATACAAATTGTTCAGCAGGCATAATTTGTGTTCCCGGACTGCGCAGGGATTTTCCTCATAATATAGCACAGCAATAAACTGCTGCTGGTCCTAGCCAGCGTACTTACTCTTGGTTTCAGGCCTCGTCGGCTACCAACGGATGTAAGGCTAAAAGGTGTTAACACCGCTCTTTTCCAACCCGCCTTTTGTTTATATCAGCTCAGTCGGAATGGTGCTATCCCTGCTACACCTGTTTCTACCTTAGGAGGGTGTATGATGATCATTGCAAGTTGTCCTCACAGGTCGGTATAGGTAAGGGAAACTAGCTGGGTCGGTTTGCATGAGACTCAGGGTAGCGACGCCGAATTAAGCGGTATTCTGGGAGTTGATCCAACTTGATGTTTATTCACTTATTGTTCTCCAACCCACACTGTTAATTTAATGTGTCTTTATGCTTTAAATTATAACATGTTACTCGATCTGCAAGCTATGTCTCGGAGCATGCAAGGGTCACGTCCGTATACTTCAGAATATGGCGAAAGACTCTTTTGTGGAATGGCTTGCACACCCCACGCCGGGAATTCGAAAGAATTCGAACTATCCATGGTGCGGACATATACATGTCATTCCATCTTCCGTAGGGAAGTTTGAACGAGGCAACTCAATCATAATGGCCCTCATTCACACGCAATTGTAACGAGTTTTGACCTGTCCTTCTCATTTACTTTTGTAGGCGCGTCTGGTTTCCTGTACCCGAGCTAAATTTATGACTGTTCGTAAATGTTAGAACTCCGGACTCCTTGGTCCTCCCAGAATCTAGAAATTTCAACATAAACACCGTATTGCACGTCCCAGACAATGAAATACGAGATTATAGATCACAATAAAGTTCCAGTAACATCGAAATATATGACTTTTGAATTTAAAAATTTCCGAGAATAAATTAGAAATAAAGTTCATGGTCGTTTATAATGATCCAAATAAATAAGGGTTAAGACTGATCAGCGTCAGTGTCACAACATAGAAGACTCCGATCTGAACAACCATCACCTCGAAAACCTAGAAACGTACATGTACCTTACTTCTGTTTGCCCTTTTCATTTGTGTTATGCATCAACATGTACTGTGGGAAAGTTAACGGGCTGGTAATAGTTAAGGAACGGATATTATTATGTTTTAAAATTAAAGAGGAGTTCCGGGTAGAGCTCATAAAGACTACTTTCCTGGCGCACAGACTCCCATTCTAAAAAATCTTGTGCTGTTAAGGCCATAAAATCAAAATTGATTAATGGATTAGCATGGTGGACTAGAGCGCAGGTGGTTATAACCTCGAATATTAGCCGAAACATAATTATTTACTGCTTGTAAATTTAAACATAGCGATTTGTCACCATCCACCATCTAACTTTTCGGAAGAACTTTATTACTTAAGCACAGATCTTTTTTACTTTAAAATTGTTGGCTATAGCTTCAAATTTTCGTACCGTCGCCATGTTTGTAATTATTGGTATAGGGATATTTCATACGGAAAATTTGTAGGTATGATTTCGATGTACCTGCATACTAAATTTCACATACTCTCCAACGGTTCATTAGCTATCTCCATCAAAACTAAAGCTCTGTACACTGCAAAGTTCACAAAGCCGTAATTTTGTTTTACATTCTTTAAAAAAATGCCGTTTTCGCTTATTTTTTTTGTCACAAATCATTTCAATACCCTAAATTAAGTAGCACCAATGTCGCTTGTATCTTACAAGTTCATACGTCCTCCAGGTTGCTGTTCCCGATTGTAGGGAACTGAAACCTACACTGAGGTGGCCATCACCGGTATGACATGCACACCTAACTTCGTAAAAATAGGTCATTTGGTTCGAAAGAAGAGAGGAAAGACTACACACAAAGAGCACGCTGATTTCACAAGCCTACATCATTCTCTAAGGAAGGAAAATAGGCTAAAACTAATTAATCTGAAAGAAAAGAACAGGTAAGAGATGTAATAAAATACGAATAACATCAGAGAAGCAATAAAAATCACTGGCCCAGTTGCCGAGAAAAACTGTCTGAACAAGATGTCTTACTGCTATTACCACAGTCCGTGAACCACTGTTAAATTTTTACAGATTTCTCTGTATTCGAAAATCACGATACCCCAGTTGAAAAATAATGGTCCAGTGCTATGCAACCATAGGAAAACAGTTCCAATGAGGAGCGTTTTAGTATATGTTTTTCCTTTGGAGATAACAGTCCAATTTTTCACTCGTCTCACCAACGTCTTGTACGAATACCGTGGCATAACAATGCGTCAGTCTGTCCGTAGCATTAGTAAAAGAATTCTGATGGCATTTTATATAACATGGTTAAATAGAAACGCAGATACTTCCGGATCAATTAGACTTACACTTTCCTTGAAGGCAAACAACATTTCCTGCCTCATTCTTTACTCATCTAGTCCTACACAGAGCAACAGCACATGCTTGCTTGCAAGTGACGTCAATATAAAAAGGAAAATCAGCTGTGTATTAGATTTTACTCTTTGTTTAAAGGAACTTACGTAATAGCTTTACAACAGATGCTGAAGATGCCAATCTCATTCTCTAAGACAAGTATCTACTTGTTTTAGTGCCTTCCGCACGACGTTGCGGAGTATGTAACGGTCAACGATGGCAACAGTCTCTTCATCAGTGTGTTTCAATCCCTCAAGACTTCATGGGTTATTCGGATAAATTCGTATTTTGAAAGATTTCACAGAAAGAAGTAGGGTGGTGTGTGATCTGGAGTAAATGATCGTGTCGGTTGATTTTTAAATGGTACATCATGTGGAATTAGTAAAGTGCGACGGGCGCGTAAGGCTGACAACCTTACCGCCATCTTTGAGTAGATTGTCTAGCTCTATATAATGTGGGACCCTCAACGTCTCACAACCCTATGGGCCTTCACGGCCTGGTACAGGGATAGCTTTACTTTTTTTTTACTTTTACCATGTGGAAAGTTCTAACAAAACTCGGTGAATTTAATTATGTACATGAACATTTTATACGACTGATTTTTTATGAGAAGTTGAATAGAACTGTTTTATGGTGAGAAATATAAGTAGGTTATGCCATGAAAACAAAGAGGATGTTTAGAAGCAGAATGACTATAAATATTTTCTAAAAATCTGTATAAATTTTATAATAGGAGACGGTTTGTGCCTATGTATGTATCGAGCTCACGACGTATAGCTTTCATATACATAAAAAAGGAGCACCTCTGCGCTCGAAACTCTGCATTGTTCCAATGGAGAAATGGGTGAACGAGATAAAGGTATACAGGGAATGAATGCAAGGAGTAAGGCAGACCATCAAACCAGAAGAACCGAGACGTCCCCTTTCACCAATTATTGACCAATTTCTTAATCAGCTAGCCCACTGGGTGGCTGAATTTGAATGCAAGATACAAGTGCGTTTTGTCAAAAGACCTTCAAATTCCAGCTCATATAGTTTCCGAGTTTGCGATCCGGTTGAAAATCAGCCATAATTTACTTCGGTGAGAAGTAAATTAATTAGAAAGCCGCACCATAGCTCAAGCGGTTAGTCGCTGGCTTCCCATCGCAGCGGCCCAGGTTCGATCCCGGGTCTGGTCAAGTGGGATTTGTGGTGGACAAAGTGGCTATGGGGCAGGTTTTCTCCGAGCACTTCGGTTTCTCCTGCCAATCTTCATTCCACCAATTGCTCTACAATCACCCTTACCTATCATCTGGGGCTGGTACAATAGGCCAGAAGTGGCCGCAGTACAAGGGACGTAGTCTCACCCCACTAGCAATTAAGAAAAAAGTTAATTAGAATCGTCTCACTGTTAAATATTCATTAAATGTAAAAAAAAAAGTTTCAGGCAAATATTATTGATCGTAAGGGGGAATCTTTCTTTAGCTTAGGTCGTTTATCCCAGGAATCCGTCCAGGTCCGAGGCTTTGTGTTAATTTTCATAACATAATCATTTTTTACGACGAGGAGTTGTTAGCCCCACGCCCAACCCGGAAGCTGGAGGGCCACCCCTTGTCGGCTCTCCGCGACTGCTTATTCAATATATTCAGAGCTTCCCTCCAAACCTGGAGGGCGTCTCCTCCATCCGCAACCTGAGGACGCGCCATGCCGTGGTATAATTAGAATGATCAAGTCAAGGAGGATGAGGTGGGCGGGGCATGTAGCACGAATGGGGGAGACGAGGAATGCGTATAGAATATTGGTGGGAAAGCCAGAAGGAAAGAGACCACTGGGAAGACCAAGGCGTAGGTGGGCGGACAATATTAAAATTAATCTTAGAGAGACAGGATGGGATGGTATTGATTGGATTGATCTGGCTCAGGATAGGGACCAGTGGAGGACTCTTCTGAACACGGTAATGAACCTTCGGGTTCCAGAAAATGCTGGGAAGTTCTTGAGTAGCTGCAGAATTGACGGCCCCTCCAGAAGGGCTCAGCTCCATGAGTAAGTAAGTAAGTAAGTAAGTAAGGGAGAAACTTCAGTGTTTTGGTATATGATGAATTGTTTCTGGGAAATGTGACTTTAGAATGAAGAAAACCTTCAAGGGCACTATGTATTATACTTCTTATTACGGTATATATAAGAAGTAAAATACAAACGTAGTAGTACATGGTTTCATGTTGACCACGCCTGATCCATCTATACAAATTTCGTATGAATTGAATTTAAGCGTTCCTTTTTCTATATGAATAACAATAGCTGATACCAGCGGTGGGTTCGGACTTGCCCATTTAAAACACATAACAAGAATGTGTGTATTTAGATCTCAACTTACCGAAGAGTGAAAGAGCGAAAACAGGAACAGGTACCACCTAAAGACGCCCATCTTCCTTCAAGCCCAGCTGCTTACTGTAACGCTGTAGCGGACCTGCTTGGATCTGCTGTCTTGTCTTGTTCAGCATCACAGATGAAACCCAACTCAATGTCGTGTACTTTCAATGTATTCTAACCCCAGAGTGACCGAGAGTGACTGACCGCGACCATTGCCCCCAACACAACTCGCAAGGACAAGTTAGTTGTATTCATTCCTAACAGAGGGCAATACAGCCACATGCGAATTACTGAGGGATGAACTGCGGCATTGATTTGTTATACCAGTCTACCATAGTCAAATAGCACACACTGAACAAATTATTTGAAAATGGCGAAAGAAATTAAAGATCGACGTAATTAATTAACTTCATAGGCAAAAATGACAATATGAATAGTGATATTTTCCCGCCATTTGCACGTTTTATAAGCATCTCATTCCAATTGTTCAAATGACATATAACCGCCAAGCCACTGACCTGTAACCACATGTAATTTACGTAAAGATTTAAATATATAGCATCATTTGCTTTTTGTGTGTGGAACCCAGCCTTCAGAGGAAGGTACACTGATGACTAATAAGGCTGTGGTCTTCTGAGTTGTAACACTGTGCAATATTGTAAACGAATATGGACGTATTGGAGGCACATGCTACTTCCATCTTCAGGGTTGAGGCATGTAAGTAAATATCGAAATCTTAGCCACGTTACGAATGATAGTCTGTTAGTCTTGGCGTCAAGATCGATCAGGGGCTCACGAACAGTTCTAGTTTGTCAAGACAGTTATGATTCTGTCGTTGTGGGGCCTTCTCTCTGACAATCTATCAGTTGTTAAAAGTCAATGGTCAACCGTATTTACAGTATTACACGCAGGCCTGTACATTATTCATGGTATACACTCCGTCCCTTCTCATGTACCGCAATCATTGACAAATGCCTGTATGCATAGCCTCTTCAATTTTACATATGTTAATACATGGTAATATTTTATTATCGCATCAAGTGGAGGAACTGTTTTGGAAGAGACTGTGGGCCTGTCGTCTGACGGATTACTGATAAATGAAGGAATACATTACATACAGGGCGACCCTTAAATATAAGCAACGTGTACTACATTTACAAGCAAGTAGAATCTGTCAAATAAATAGGAGCAGCCACTTCGTTAGCAAGACATGGCAACTGGAATCATGAGGAAAGAAACGACAACGTAGTCGTGGATAAATAGTTTATTAGCTGTGAAGAAAATGGCGTCTTACTGGTCACAAAAGATGTTAAAAGGGCCCACAATTATAGTCAGTGGATAACCGAGCGTTGTTGCACCAAGAGTTTCTGATCCTCTGCAAGGCGTCATGTTGTTGTATAAAGACGTCCCAGCCATTTCAATGGCATTCTGCAGTTCGTCCCGCTTGATACATTGTTTGGTGTAAACGATACTCTTCAGATGGCCCCACAAGTAGAAGTTGGCAGGAGTGAGATCGGGTAAATCGCGGAGGTCACGCAACTGGTCCGCCTCATCCTGTCTACCGACCTGGGTAAATCGTGTAGATTTGCAGCAGTTGCATTGCTACGTTCTGAGTCTCTGTACACTAATATCATTGTATATATCAGTTTGTTAAATGAATACTCCGAAGTCTGCGCCCTTCTTCAATACGTAACTCGTCCACAGGTGTGAACACCGAAACGTCAACAGTAATGTATTCGTACGTGCCTGTAGACTGAATGACTGCTTTGTCCGTCTTGCCATGTTACCTCGCAGTCGTCACACTTCGCTAACGAAGCGGCTGCTACCCTATACGAGTACATATGTGAACGCTTCTGCTTTCCTGTAGGTGCAGAACACGATACTTATACTGTATTTAGGATTCGTAATTACGACTTATTCTGTACAATGTCTCTAGCAGTCCTGACTTTGTACAGCAGATCATGCAGCTCAAGCTACAACAGTAGCGCCATCTGAATGGTCATCGGCTTAACGCCCTTTATGTTTCCAGTGTCTTGCTTCACTTTACCCTATGTTGTGAACATTTGCATTTTCATGATTTTGCGTAACTTGTGCTTACTGCATGCAGGTTCAGGAATAGGCTTAGCTGCACAGGTAAATAACAATGAAGGTGCCGTCTTGAGACCCAAGGTGAGGGGTAATGACAGGAACCCAGTTCAAGCCAATTGGAAGAAGTGGCCAGAAATGACACAAGGCGCACACTGATTTACCGCCATAGCTGGGAAATGGAATGGTCAGAACGGACCTTTCCAGGGATTCAATTGTTTTCATGAGGTACGCGGAATTTTGTGAGAACAGACAAAAAACGGACCTTTTCAAAGCCACTACATTTTTTCTTACAGGATAGAAATTTGAAATTGAGAATTAAGCTCTTGTGGGTGGGAAGTGAGGAAACAGCCTTACCTACTCACTTGAAGGTCTGGGTAGAGTGATATTTCAAATCTTGTTACTAATTGTTTCTATGTCATTGTAGTGTGACTACATCGGAACGGAAAATCAACCACCATTTGACTAAGAAGTCAGTTAAAATGTAGCAGCCGCCGAAGGCAGTTGAAATATAGCAACAGTCGCAGAAAGAAGATCCGAACGCGTGGTTAGAAGATTTGATGTGATAATTTGTGATACTGTCGAGGGCAGCAATTGTGTGATTGCAAGAGCGAGTGTAATAAATTCGCTATATTCAAATAAGGCGTGAAGTTACTTGCCGCGCGTCATACACCCAACACGTGACAATTTGGTATCAGAATTGTCTACGAACTTAAACACACCATAAACTAATTATTGTGCATTGAGTATTTTACTGCTACAAAATGGAGACGCAGCAGATGATGGAAATACTGGCAAGGATCAACACCAACATGAAAGCCAACCAAGAAAAAGTAGACGCCGACCAGGCGAAGGCAGAGGCCAATAGGAATTAAGACAAAGAAGATTTCATGGCAAAATTAGACGCCAACCGAGAAAAGGCAGACGCCGATAGAAAAGCCTGGCAAGAAGAGATGGGCGCCTGGAGAGAAAAGATTGCCATGGAAACGGAAGCAATCAAAGCAAGGACGAAAGCCATGCGAGAAAAAATGGGCACCAGCCACATGGAGATAGTGTACACATTTAAACCTGAAATAGAATGGCCTGCTAAGAGATGGAAGCATGTCTACAAGAAGAAAAGCCGGCCTCAGTGGACACAAAACCTGCGGCGGCCAAGAAGAAGAGGTCCCCATTGTGATACCGGTCGTAGAATCTGAAGAAGAAACAACGGATACCAGAAAAGAGACGATGGCCTGCCAAGAGATGGAGGCACGTCTAGAAGAGAAAGAGCCGACTTCAGTGGACAGGAAACCTGAGGTGGCCCAAGAACGAGAAGTCCCCAACGAAGATGCCGTAGTGAAACCCGTCAAAGGACGGAAGAAGCGGTATAGGGGCAAGAAGCTTCAAGTCTGGTAAAAGGATTTCTTCAGACCACTATATAAATAAGTCCATTCTGGGAGAGTAACTGGATGCTTGATTTTCAGCTCCATGAATTTGGCACATAACAGTAACATTTTGCTTTCTGCTTGTATTATAATCAGTTCACATGGAGATTAGAACCTGTCTTGACTATTCCGGCTTAGTCACATTTTGGGGTTCCTATGGGACATTTTACATTCTACAAATAATTATGCATACTTAGTGGCTTCACATGCTAGGCAGTCACCTACTTCATGCTGCCTAACCCCATGAGAAGAACGCATTAGAATGGACTTTCAGGTGCAAATAATTTTTTATTCTCATTACATTTCAAATAGATGATCCTCAGCTCTCACTGCAGCTGTACTTTCCTTGGTGATGGGAGCGAGCTCTTCAAATTCTGGCTGGAAAAATATTTCAGAACCTAATAATGTATAAAAATAATACAGCGTAATGATCTAAATATATATTTGATTTCTTAAAAACGATATAACACTTCATTGTATTGTGAAAATGTTAAAAAAAATTCTGAAGAATTCACCTGTGACCTTGCTAACTTTAAATTATAGAAGAAATTCACTTCAGGTACAGTGAACTAAACAGAGAAATACTGCTTTAAGATTCAGTCCTCCTGCAACACTTGATTTGGTGACTAGTTAATATAAGACTGTAATATAAGTGTCTTTACCAAATAAATATCCAACGACCATGTGGAATTAAAGGTAAAGGTAAAGCTAAAGATATCCCTGTAACAGGCTGTGAAGGCCCATAAGGTTGTGAGCTGTTGAGGCTCCCACATTTTCTCTAGACAATCAGCTCACAGATGGCAGTAAGGTTGCCAACCTTATGCGCCAGCTGCCCTTTACACCACCCCCTGGTAGATTCCTGGTACTCATTTCTGTTAGAGGCTGAGTCGACCCCAGGGCCATAGTATGGCTGGAAGGATTAGGCCAATTGAAAAAATCAACGTCATTGGGACCTGAACCTGCAACGTTCTGGCTTGTAGCACAGTGCCCCAACCATGTGGAATCTGATGGGAAATTTGGAAAGGGCTATAAATATTTTCTAGCAAATTTAAATTTCAAAATGTTAGTTTGAAAATACCATGCCTACCAACAATCTCTTGAGATGTTTATCTGTTCACTACAGTTTACTTCACACAATGCATTGTTTGCTATTCAATCCCCTTGCCACAGTGAGGCACATGACATGGACTCCTGACCATCTTTAGGACTTCACATCCAAATATGGACCATAAAATTGAATTCCTCATCACTGATACTGCTGAAATAGAGTCTAACCATTGCTCAAATGCTCTAGAACAGAATCAATATCTGATTATGGAGAACATTAGCAATTAGTTCTGAATGGCAGTCAAAAGCTCTTTATTTCACATTCAGTCACTACTTGAGATAGGGATGTACTGCTAACTAAAGTTTATGTTCTTCAGTGAATACACCTGGGGCATGTGGTAGCATAATTAGTTGAGGCACTATGCTACAGGCTGGAAGGTCGTGGGTTTGATTCCCAATGAGGTCATTGGATTTTATGAATTGACCTAATCGTTCCAGCCATACTGTAGCCCTGGGGCTGACTCAGGCTCTAACAGAAATGACCACCAGGAATCTTCCTGGGGGTAAGGTGCAGCTGGTGCATAAGGCTGACAGCCTCACCACCATCTGTGAGTC